AAAAAAGGATATTTATTGCTGTTGGGAACCATAAACCACTGTTACAGCCGTATACTTGATGAAATTTTAGTACTAGCACTCGAAAGGGAGCAGCATGTATCACTGTGACACAACCAGATTACTTCAGTACACTGAAAATGTGTTCTCATTATGTCATGATGGATGAAAAATAAGCAATAGACAAGGAAAAAGGGCTCAGTTACTCCACTGAAATGTCTGGAAATGAGATAGGGCTTTTCTTCCTAACATTCATTGCATGCAGTCCAGAAAAAGGCTGCAAGGCTCTCTGTAAGTGGGAATGCCAACCTATAAAAAGATCTATTTACTCAACACTTGCAGATTTCCTGTTCAGCCTCAACTGGGGAAAACAGGGGGGTGGGAAAACTCCATGTCTGGCTCAGCACAGTCTCACCTGTGATGTGTCCATTGTGTTCCTTCAGCTCGTGAGCCTTTACCCACTGGTTCCCACTCTTCTTGTAGATGTGGACTTCATGGTTATTGGGGCTAATGGCAATCTCTGGAAAGAGGAAACAGAACTGTCCTATAGTACTGAAGGCTTCTTAATTACAAATTACAATGCTTTCTCTGAAAAGACTTTCCCACCTAAACCCTCTGTTCTCAAATTTGAGGGCACTACATGGGCTTTGTAAACAAAGGGCCAATAACCCTGGAAAATCTCAAATAATTATGGACACAGAAAGGCCTGGGTTGCAAGGGACTTCAAGCCCATCTCATTCCAAGCCCCTGCCATCGGCAGGGACACCTTCCACTAGCCCAGGTTGCTCCAAGCCCCATCCAACCTGGCCTTGGACACTTCCAGGGATGGGGCAGCCACAGCTTCTCTGGGCAACCTGTGCCAGGGCCTCCCCACCCTCACAGGGAACAATTTCTTCCCAATATCCCATCTAACCCTGTCCTCTGTCAGTTTGAAAGATGTTGGTATACACACCACGGTCATGAGTATTCTGCACAGAAAGACAACATATTTGGAACATAAAAATCCACATTATAGCAGAAAACTGAACTATTAAAAGAAAAGGCTGGTTTGGGGTATGGAAATAGAGGGTCAGAGAGGGTGAGGGTCAGGTCAATCTCATGAGGTGCAGAGCAAGAGGCAGAGCTTTCTAGAACACCAGGAAGACTCAATTTGCTCCGATGTCAGAGCTCCAGCAATGAGTGTAGAAAAGCTCAGCTTTGGGGGACGAGTGCTTTTTGGATCATAAATGGAACATTTAACACGTAGAACTATGTATCTGACCACACCTCCCCTAAACATGACCCAGAACATTGCAAGACCCCAAACTGACAGCCAAGAGGGAACAGCAATTGAAAAAAAAAAATCAATTAAGAATGAAAGCAAAGATATTACTCACGAGTACGGTCTCTGTTCCAGGCATGGCAGGTGATTGGCTCCAGCAGAAACTGATGCAGAGACATTCCGAGTCCAAGGGATTCCTATGTTGTAAAAAGTGAAAGAGCTGAAAGGTGTAAAATGGAAAACAGAACACTTCAAAATGAGAGAATTATTAAAATAAAGATCAACATTTACCAAGGATCTTTCAGTGCAGTGTTGCAATTTCCTTGCAGGAGATCACAACTTACTCAGTAAATATGTTAATTTACTCAAGAGCTGCCTGTGTCACACACCCTGATAGCTTTAGTAGGACAATGAATATTAATTGTCCTGCTTACTTTAGCTAATTGCAATTGCCCTAAGAGCCACAGGCACCTGCTTCTTAGTGTATCCTCACAGACAAGGGAGCAGGTTCTCAAGAAATCTAATAAACCTCCTAATTTTACTGTGGAAATAGAATAATCAAAAAAATAAATATCTAGGACATAGCTCAGCAAACTGATTAAAAACCCTGACATGTGCCCAGGCTCACAGGCAGCACCACAACAAAATCTTCTTTCAGGAGGTTAAACTGATGTGGAACTGTGATCTGCTGATGTATTATTTGATAAAGCCATTTATATGTATCCTAGGGAAAAATTATTAAGATTAGTAATTAACTAATTAGCAATTTCTTCCAATTAATTCTAGCACTAAACTATTTGATAGTCAGGCTTTTGCCCCCATGAGACTCAAACACTAAAAGAACAAGCTGAATCATTGCAGTTTGTGAGTATTTTGTTTAAAAAAAAGGCTAAAGACCTAGTTTTTCTTCAGTTTATGGCTGTTACAAGAGTCAGTGCTGAACATCTGCAACTGGAGGCACATCCAGCCGGAAATACAAAGTTGTTTAAAATATTTTTAATATTTTAATATCTAAAATATTGTATTCTATGTCCTGTATTAACCAAGGGCAGCATAAATGGATGGAAGGTAATATCATAAAAACTCAAGGTCACCTGTAATAATAATAATGTGCACAGTTCAATACATCCAACTTGGATTTGCCAATTCCTTCCATATATTCCACTAATTTTCATAGCAATTTATCACTGGCTGATGGATCAAAGTGGTTTTACCCCCACATACACAGTGGAAAAGAACCATTTCCATGATGTCATTCCAAGACATCCACACCCATTAGAGCCTGAAATTACAACATACCCAAGTAAGGCCATGTTAGCAGAGGGTGGAGACTTCAGGACAAGGTAGGAATTTGGAAGCAAACAGGAAATGAAGGCAATCCAACAGAAACTCAGGAGTGAAAGAAGGATGAGTAAATTCTTACGGAGCTTTAGCAATCACTACCACACCACCAAATTCAACAAATATCCTGAAAGTGCTGAATCTTGGGGCAGAGGTGAGACTGTGTTTCACCAATGCAAGTAACTGGAAAGACTTTTTATTTGATTTCATTTTTTTTTTTTTTAGGAATAACTGGAGAGACTTTTTATCTTATTTAATTTTATTTGTTTTAGGAAATCAAGCACTGTTATTCTAAAGAAATGCAAATGACAGTCGCACTGCAAATGTACCTCAAATACAGCTTAACTGTACAAGCTTTAAATCCAGTTCACAATTTTAACCAGCATGAGTTTCATGGTTCTTCTAATAACCACATTCTATCAATCAAATGAAGTTATTAAATATATGCAGTCCTAAGCAAAATAATTAATTATTTTTTTCTTTGTTAATGTGAAAATGTTGACGTAATCTGAGTTACCTCTGACCTTGGACATCCATCATTTGCAATTCCACGTGTGAATATAAGCAAAACACAACTGCAAAGTGCTTTTTCCAGGATCTTGCTTTAGCTCATGCCAACATTCGGTAGCAGCACATTTCCATATACAGGAAAAGTTCAAGAGCTGTTCCACCAACAAGGAATGCTCAGCCTTTGCTTCTCTTTCCGAAATAAAACGTAAAAATATCCAACCTCCCCTCCCCAAGGAATGCAGCTATTTTGAAACACTTTCTAACACAATCCTGCTTTTTTTTTTTTCCACAGATTTGCACTGCACATAAAATATGGTCCCATCCTAACTTCTAGTCCAGATATTTTTGCTTAGCTGTTCCCAAAACAGGCCCAAACCTGTATGATCCATCCCTTCCCATTGACTGAGTTTCTTGAGCTCCATAACTTGGTACAAGCCACCGTTTTCCATTTTGGTTTGGTAACAAACCCATAAAACCCAAGTGATGATAACCTCAAAAAGCACTGCTATTTCTGTCCCCTGATAGAGGCAGTGCTATTTCCTTAGGGGAGATAAATCTTATTGAAGTTTTCCAGTAGTATTTATTCTTTACCAATATACAGACAAAAATCAAACTCATATTTCAGTAGGGAAAATGCCACTGGCCCTATGATAAATTAATAACCTCAACGCCTTCCTGTCAGCCAACCTCAGAATCTCACACAGGGAAGACAATGTTATGATGGCTTTGTTAGTCAGGTATTTAATGCAGCTCTCCCTCAGCTTTTTCCCCAAATACAAAGTAACTGGCCTTGAGTTTCAACGGGTTTTTTTTAAAAAGGGGGAATCTTCCACCTTTGTACAGCAGGAGTTCTTTCAGTATAAGGACTGAAAAGATCAAGGTTGGGAAATACAGGGCTCAGCTGCTGTCATTTCTCCATGGGGTGAGAAACATGAGGTCCACGGCCATCCCTGGAGAAGCAACCAGCCAGGATGGGGACTTGGAAGTGGAGATGGAAGGTGTATGTGTGACAGAGAGAGGAAGGGATCTTTTTAATCCCTGCCCATTCTCAGAGCACCTACATCACTTCCAAAAGCCCCTGTGATTAAGGACAGCCCCCTTTCACTGTCATTCCCTTCCAAACCACTCAGCGCAGCTTTCCCAAGGGGGTGACTCCTCCAGGGCATCTCCTGACACAGGACACCGGGATGGGGATGGATCAGGAGCTGCGGCCCTGCCAGCACAGGGGGCACGGCAGGAGCTGGGAGGGCACGGCCAGGAATACAAGGGGGTTCTGGGAGGATAGGGGGGATCATGGTAGGAGTTATGGGGGGGCACGGTGAGAGAGATGAGGGGGCACGGGGTGGATACGGGGGGGCACGGCGAGAGATATGGGGGGGACACGGAGTGGGCTATGGGGGGGCACGGCAGAGCGGGGGACACGGCAGAGGTGGGGGGGAGGGATATGGGGGGCACGGCGGGGGATATGAGAGAGCACGGCCGGCGCTGCCCCTGCCCGGTGCCCACCGCCTCCCCCTCAGCAAGGGCGTCCCCAGCCCCTCGGGGCAGTGATGCTGCGGCGCCTCCTCCCCGCCCCCCCACTCCCACCCCCTGCCACCCCCTCATCCCGGCGGGCTCGCCGGCTCCCCCCGGCCGTCCCTGGCGGGGCAGAGGCTCACCTGGGGCGGCGGGGGCGGAGCGGGACTCGCGGACTCTGGGCAGTCAACGCGACTCCGCTCCGGCGGCGGGAGAGGCCGAGGGGGCCCGGCTCTGACACGGGCGGCAGGAAACGCGCAGCGCGCACGCGCCGCCCCCGCCCCTCACACACAAAGGGCGGGGCGGCGCCTGCGCGGCCCCTCAGGGAGGGGCGGGCGGGGCGAGTCATAAAAATATCGCGGAATTGCCGGGGTGGGGAGAGACTTTTTGAAATCGTGAAGTCCAACCGTCAGCGCGCTAACCACCGCTGTGATCCATAAACCGCGTCGTCGCCCAGCGCCGGATCCACACACGCCTCCTAAACACCTGCAGGGGTGATGGCCCCGCCACCCGCCCCGGGCAGCCCGTTCCGATGTGTGGCCACTTGGATTGTGAAAAAAAAAATTCTGTGATATCTGAACCTCAGATTGAGGCCGTTTCCTCCAGTCGTCCCTGTAGATACGGTAGAAGAGCCTGGCCCCCACCTCAGTACAGCCTCCTGTCAGGTCTGTTACTGTGATCAGCCTGGAGGACAAGGAGGGGGAAAAAATACAGGAAGGTAGGTCTGCCCTAGGTTGTTTCTCTGAGGAGAAAAAAAAAAAGTGTGACTATTAATAGTTTCCAGTAGATGACTCGCAAAATACAGAGATGCCGGCAATATATATACACCAGAAGAGAGGGCTCCAGGGAGGTCCTTGGAGCCCTTTCCAGTGCCTAAAGGGGCTCCAAGAGCTGGAGAGGGACTTGGGACAAGGGCCTGGAGTGACAGGACAAGGGGGAATGGCTTCACACTGACAGAAGGCAGGGTTAGATGGGATACTGGGGAGAAATTCTTCCTCTGAGAATGGGGAGGCCCTGGCACAGGTTGCCCAGAGAAGCTGTGGCTGCCCCATCCCTGGAAGTGTCCAAGGCCAGGTTGGACGGGGCTTGGAGCAACCTGGGCTAGTGGAAGGTGTCCCTGCCCATGGCAGGGGCTTGATACTGGATGATCCTTAAGGTCCCTTCCAACCTAAATCATTCCATGATTCTGCGGTTCAATGCTGGAATATTAAAAGAATTTCATTAGCAACACTTTTCCCTGCTCTTAATCCCCTTGAGGAGCTGCCTCCTCTTTGGGGTCTCTTTTTTTGGCTCCTTCAAACTCTATCACCTGTGAGATTTTGTGAGCTCAAATACAGCAACAACAAACAAAAAGTCTGGGGGAATGGAGAGAGATAAGTGACTCCCAGATATACTGAGAAGCAATAGAGTAGTGAGTTTAATTTTGAGTTTGAGAGAAAATAAACAATCTATAAGCATCTCGAAGACAAAAAAGAAGGTGAATTCTGGCTAGTATGGCTTTGTCGTGAATGAATTGAGCCAATCTAATTTCCTCTTCTGGCAGCATAACAAGGATAGCAGATAAGGGCAAAGCAGTGTATGTCATATATCTTGATTTTTAGTAGAGCTTCTGACACTGGCTTGCAAGATATTCTAATAATAAACTGGGAAACAAGTCTAGATGATACCACTCTGAAGGAGTTGCAAAACAGGTTGAGGAAAAAAGTACTTGATATCAGTGCTTGTACCTGTACATTAGTCATCCGTGATGAAATAATGCAATTACTGCATTTGAAGATGAGATCAAGTTCAGAATAAACACAGTGGTAGAACTAGTATTCAGAATAGGAGCTCTGTGGAAAAAATAGGATGTGGTTCAGCAGCAGGTGCATTTCAACACCACCAACTTCAGAGGTACCCAACGGGGAATAGGGCAGCTGGCTGTGCTGCAGGAAAGGATGGAGGGACCACGGGTCAAAAGCTGAACAGGAATCCAAAATATCTTGTTGCAGAAGGGGCAAACACCATGCAGGTCTGTGTAGGTAAGAAAATACAAGTAATAAACACAGGAATCCTGCTCTGCTGAGCTGCATTGGAAGAGCATGGCCAGTTCTGGGCTGTGCACCAGAGAAACGGGGATAATTTGGAGAAAAAGGTGTCAATAATGATCAGAGTCTTTGAACACATGACTTCTGCTGAGCCTGTTGAGAGGACAGAGGGCTGAGGGAAGATGTGTGTAGTCTTCAAACAGATAAAAGGGTGCAGCTCTGAGGAAAGGAACAATTTGTCCTCTTATGTCTACAGGGGTAGGGTGAAAAGTCATAAGCTGAGATAACAGCAAGGCAGATCTGGGCTACAGGGGAAAAAATCCTTAGTGATTCCTTTGAAGTAGTCAAGCCCTGTGTTAGGAACTGACTTGACAGGATGTAGGGCTGCTCCTACAGGTTTTTAAGAATGGATCTGAAATATTTGTCAGAGTGGCAGAAGTGCAACACGAGGTCTTGCGTTCAGGAAGGAGGCGAGGCGGGGGGTCTGTGCCCCTGGTCCTGTGACTGTGAGATGTGTAATCATTGCAGCCCTTATTGGCTTAACCATAAAACCAGATCAGCTGCACGGATTAAAGACACGCAACTGGGCCGAGGAGAATTATGTAACAGGAACAAAATTACGTTTTAAGTATGGTTTTACATGTTTACAAAATGATTTTCACCAGATGGAGGGAAAGTATCTGAGCGAGGAACTCTGCGGGGCTTTGAAGCATTAAAAGCTAAGACCTTGTCTCCAGTGAAGCCTTTCCAAAGAACTTTCCACCATTGCTCCTGCTGTAGAGCTGATTCAATTATGCTGTGCTTAATCCAGGAAGGATGTTGATGTTTTTGAGATTAAGGCCTCAGAAGCAAGGCTGTGCTGGTCTTAGTGAAAGTGATTTAGATGCAATCTGACCTTAAGGTATATAGGAAAAAGATTTGACCCGGGACACCCTCATGCAGCAAAAGAGTAACAGCTAGTCAAAAAGAGATCTTTTGGAAAGCAGGCTGTCAGATACACATATAGGTAATTGCTGATGAAAAGTCTTGCTTTGAGAGGCATTCTAGATGTGCCTTGTTAGCCCCAGTGTGTGAAAATGCAGCAGTTCTTAGCTCAGTGTCATATCATGCTAATCTTTAAAAGGAAAAGGCAACAAATGTAATTTTTCTCCATGTTCCCTGCCTCTCTAGAACTGCCATGTAGATCACAGTAATTTGTCAGAGCTGCATCCAAGTCTACATGTCTAGAGATGCTGTCAGTATAAACTGAATACATGCTTCCTGCAGTGTGTTTTTTGGAGAGGCAAAATGCCCCTGGTGTGCACAAGGTGCCATTGTGTGACACAGAACACCTCAAGTTGGAAGGGACCTGTAAGAATCATTAAATGCAGCTCCCAAGTGTTGAAACACCGAGCCAGGGGAGGGAATACCTACAGCCTCCTCATTTACAGTTTGTTCTGTGTCTTTCCCAGTTGTTCCTGCATGCACTGGTTGGCTTTGTGGCCATCTTTTGTGGAAGACCAGCTCCTTTAGAGACCTCTTGTTCTTTGCAGAATTTTCAGGCTCCACATGGTGGTTTTGTTTGGGGTCCAGCCCTATTTCCAGTTCCTTCGACTGAAGAGGAGCAGAAGGAAAATTGATGTGCCATTATGAGGATCAAAAATAGGAAGATGGTATCTACCCCAAGAATTTGAAGCTTCTCATGCTCAAGAGTTTAGTTGCAGTTCAAAAATAAAAGGCAAATCGTGCTGCTGGTGACAGTACACTTTGCAAATTCTCCTTTGTGGGTGTAGATCAGCTGCTGATACCAGTGGCTTGTTACAGCTCTGCTCAGGCACCATAAAGATCCTGATGGATGAGTTCTGCACGGGGTGAAAAGTGCTGAAGTTCCCTTGTGCTCCAGTGGGTTCAGAGTGTCCTACATGCAGCTTTTCTGCCTAGTCTGGATTTCCTTGAATTACTGCATTCCCTTTGGGACGTGTTTGTTGTTAAATGAAAACGTTCCTTTTCAGCTATTTGTGCTGAATGTGAAAGCTCAAGTGCAGGAAAGAGTTTCATAGCTGCTCTGTTGGAATAATCTTTCTAATATATTTTTACATGTTTTTCTTACCCTGGAGTTTCATAATGGTGGGGTTTTCCCCCTCCTTTCAGGGTTAACTGCTCAGCCCATTCCATCTTGACTTGCAGGTCTTTTATTGCAATTTAATAGTTGTTCTGAATTTTTTCCAGGTGCACGTAACGATCCCGCTCCTGACACAGATCTTTTGCCACACAGGAAGGCTGTGAGGAAGGTATGAAACAGATTGAGAGCACAGCTATTTATACAGATCATGGAAAGCTGCATATGTAGATTCAAAATCTGTGTGTCACCTTCTGGGGAATTTTGCCATATCTTTAATTTTTCTGTGTATCATAAGCTGCCTTTCTGAAGAATGGATCCAGAGTTCACTGAAATCAATGGGAATAAGCCCAGCTGATTTGGACAGCTCTGGGTTGGACCATAAACCAAGTGGTGGGATGCTCGTTTTTTACCACTGGACTAGTCAAAGGTGTTATTAAGTTAATAACATGTTATTAAGTCGATAGTTTTGGTTCTAATGACACTTCAGGCTTTCATTTCTGCCCTTCAGTGGAAAGAAGGTGGCTGAGGTGTAGCTGGAGGGTGAAGACGTCGTCTGAACACACAGTAACACAAAGCACAAAGGTGGCAGAAGGCTCAGCCTCAGCCTGGGAAGAGATGCTGTGCATTAAACCCCCAGCTCGCTGTGATATTTCGGAAGTGCCAGTTGTCAGCACAGTGCCAAAGGAGCAATCTGCTCAGTGCTGGCAACTTCTCTCCCCTCTGTGCCAATTCTGAATGCCATTGACTAGCTGGAGAGGGAACCCAGCCTACTCTTTGTTGGAGGGCTGAGAGGTGTGAGGAGTGGAGTTGTGTAATAAGGGAAAGAAAGGACAAATCGAGAGGAAATGGAGGAATTCCTCGGGGTGCCATCTGTGATGCAGATTACCAGGGAGGCAGAGTGAAAGTGAATTTCTTCTTTTGTGGATTAATTTTGCCGGGCTGCAATCAGTGAGCTAACGTGCATCCTGCTTTTCAGGATCACAAAAAGCAAGTGCTGACATCTGTTATTAACACTGTGCTTTCAAATCAGCACTGGAGAGAAATAATGGAATATATACCTTAAGGTTTCCAGCTGCCAGCATAAAGGGCAGAAGGGTGGGGAGGTGACTTGCATCAGCCACAGCTTGCTTTGCTCTCTCATCAGCTGCTCAGTGCTCACTGATGATTTCCTTGTGCTCATTAGTACAGTGTTGAAGGTCAGGCCCCAGCTTTCATTTAATAGTAAACAAACTGATTTTAGAGGGCAGAAAACAGTCTTAGAGACCCGGAATGTCTCATCTGCTCCCCTCTTCCATTCAGCTCTCAAGGAGATGATTTGTGCATCAGTTTACTGTATAGTTTGTTTTTCCTCTATAGAACTGTGCACTGTTAAGCCAAATGGGATTCATCCCCACTGGATCTGCATTATAGAGCATTAAGACCTGTGTGTTTACTCACAGGCTAAGTGAGAGCTAAAATAATGATACACCTCTGAGGCAGAAACAGACCCTGTTGTTTGCGAAGACCTTGAGTCTGAGTCTGTTTTTCTGAATTTCTGTGTGGATTTGAGTTTATACACCAATATTATTTATTTCAAAGCTCTGCTGCAGTAGCAGCAGCTGGCTTTAGACCCGACTGAAGCTGTATTTGATTGCATCCTCCCCAAACAGTCTCTGCTCCACACTTTACGATATGGATGTGTCTTTTTATCTCACGGAAAATAGGAGCCCAACAGCTCATTTAGTGCTTACTGTTTACTGATATGAATCATTGGAGGGCTGTTGTTGTTGCTGCTGTAAAAATAATAATAATGAAAAAGCCCCACTCTATGGAAGGAGAACTACAAAGGCTTTAATAGAAAAATTGCATTCTAGTAACACAAGCTGCTCTTCAGCAGAACAACATCATGTAAATGTGCCATTGTGTTTCAGAATGCTGCACAAGCTCAATGCTGTGTGGGTTTTATATAACAAATTAGTTTTAAACTCCCAATTTAGTATGGAGATAGCAGTTCACCTGCTTAAAGTGTATCCTTTTATTGTTGGTCAATTGGAAGGGAATGTCTTGGTTGTATTTTTTATCCTCTTGGAATAAAAGCCACATTTACGACTCAGTTTTTATAACCAATGTCCCATAATTGCAGCTGAGAAATGCTTCTTGGATTTATCAGTCCTTTCCAGAAGTTATACTCTTCTCCTTGGAAATGTTATCATGGGTGGTCTTTATGGAAAAGCGCTGCAGAGGGTAATGGTGAATGTTAAAGTAGCTTCATAAATCTGTGCACAAAATGAAGTGGCAGGTATGTTATTTCATACTGCAATCTGTAATGCAAGGAGGCTGAAAATTTCACTGAAAGAGATCTCGCTGTGGGCTACAGACTCTGGAAGAAATCTGAGCACCATGGAAACAACTAATAAAACTCGAGTTTCAATGGAGGCAGAATTTTACTCTGTCCGTTTTATGGTGGGTTTTTCCTCAGCAGTGTCTTAACTCTTCCACCGAATCTGCTAAAAGTCTTTTCATAAGCCTTGCAAAGCTGGGCCAAGATGGTGCTTTTTTAAAAATCCTGCTGTCAGTGTAATATCTTTAAAGACAGAGCTCTTCATTTTCCATAGAGTTATCAGACCTGCTTTATAGACCACTGTTATATTTATCCATTGTTGGCCTAATCCTGCACTGCTTACCCACAGTTAAGATTTAATGTTAAACCACACACACAGGAGCTCTCAGGTTGCTGTTGCATAAATAGTTGTGTTTCCTCTGTGCATGGACACTGAGTTCACCAGACCTTCTCCATGACCTCTACCTGCTCCCGGAGTTTTTCCGAGTGCTTGCTGCCCTCCAGGTCAGTTTGCACTTCTTCCAGCTCTCTCTGAGGTGGGCAGAGGCAGCACTCACTGCTCCTGGAACTTCTTATGCTGGCAGACATCTCCATCCCTTTGGATCCAAAGGTCCTGAGAGCAGATGAAAGATTAATGTAAATAATGGAGAGGAAGCTGAAAGTTGTAGGAGGTCTGTCTGCAAAGCTGTTCTTTAAGGTGATGCCAGATTCTTTTTAAAAAAAGCAAAACTCAAATCCAAATCCCACAAAAACCCCAGCTCTGGGTCTCAGTATCATGTTTGCCTGTCCTTGCAGCCACACTGATTTTTAGAGAATTACTCCTGATCGAGGCTGGTGTAACTGAGGACAAGTTAGGTTTGAGTGTGTGTGTATATATATATATATATATGTATATACACGTGTATATAGAGAGAAGGAATCTTTGTTGTTAGTCTTTAAGTTACTAAAATGGGATTTTTGGCAGCAGTCATATTTATTCCAACAAAGAGATAGCCTTTTACTAAATTACTTCATTTTATTTTAGCAATGAAGAGCTGAAGGAAGCTCCTTAGTTTTATATCTGTTCATTTCTAGTCTGTTCCTTGGCAATCCTGTTCAAACAGCAATCACAACTTCTCTTGAACACAGAACTTTTTTTGGTTTAATTACATATAAAGAGTTCCTTACATTTGTAGTTTATCAAAAGCTGATAATAATGCTTCTCTTGTATAAGGTTTCTTGGAACTAGTGCAGATTGAAATTGGTGTGAGTGGGAGAACCAGGGCTTTCAAATATAAATTCTCAGTGTGTTCATGATGTCTGTCTAAACAAGAGTACATAATCTACTGCTTTGTTGCTTAAGTATAAAACAGAGCTGGTGTGCTTTTCCATCCAGGACCTGCTTCCACTCTCTCCAGTTTACCTGGACATGCTGTTGTATATTCAGGTCATGACACGCTCCCTGTTGTTCCTACTGGCACAATCCAGCAGCATTTCCATTCTGGTCAGGTCAGTGTCCATCATCTTCAGCCGGAGAGCTTCAGCATTGCCCATCCCTTCAATCTCCAGACTTGCCTGCAGAGACTCAATTGCATGCTGGTGATTATTTCTGTGGAGTCCAGTGAAGCATATGGTACAGCAGTCTGTTATCTTGAGTCTGATCCAGCCCTTGTAGCAAATTATTGCCCACCAAGTAATAAAAATACAGTAACTTTTCAAACCTGTTAAAACCGAGATACCAGCATTTCACACCAAGCCATTCATGAATACCTTCTTTTAAAGCAGGGCTGGAGAGCTTTCAAGAGGTCATCTTAAAAATGTGCTGCCTAAAATCTGGATCATCTCCTGCTAAAACCAGACCCACTTGACGATGTGTGACCAGACTGCACTTAACTTCCAGTAAGGGAGAATCTACAGCCCCCAGACAGTCTGGTCCAAGGAGTAATTCCCCTTAATGGTTTTAAAACTTTCCTAACTTAAAACCTCCATGCTGCAGCCTTATTATGTACATAATGTAATTATGCTATACATAATTATGTGTACAGAATCCATCCAGTTGTACATAAAAAATCCATCTGTTGGAATGTGGGCAGCAGACACCGGGCTGGAAGGCATCTCTCACATCTGCAGCGTTGGTCCCACCCGGGAAGACTCTGCTTCCTCCAGTGCCACCTGCAGTTCATCCTTCTCAGTCTCCAGCCTCACTTTTTGCAGCTCCTGAATGCTCTTCCCTCTCTCCCCCAGCTCATTGATTAGATCCTTAATTTCCTCCAGGGAAGAAAACGGATATTTCATGTGATAGGTTTAGTTCAGGACTATGAACTTTACCGAGTGCACCAGACAGATCCTTTGACTGGAAACAGCATGAAATGGTTTCAGTCACTTTTTAATCAGCTGTCCTTTTCTTTTATTGCTGAATATTATCCTGGACTTCTGAATGAGCCCTGTTAGCTGCATGTGCTCATGGAGGTGGAAGAATGAAGCCCACTAAATCAAGAGAATTTTTCCCCAGTTTTTATCCAGCTTTTCCCTCTCCCCCTTTCAGATGGTTGCTCTCACAAAATGGGAACAGGACACCACATCATCCCTCTGCAGCACAGTGGGGCTCTCTGCCAGCTGATGGAGGCTGGAGCAAAGGGTTGGGGGTGAGAGCCCAGAAAACACTGGGTCTGTTCCAGAGTGTCCATCACTGTTTTCTCCTGGCCACAAAGACAGCAGATTGTAGCATCTTCTAAATATTTACATCTTCCAGCCTCCTGGAAGAGATAAATGTTTGTAATTTACAGAAGTGTTTTTTTAGAAAAAAAGGAGCCAAGGCAGTTGGTCTCCCTGTACAACCAGTGGGGAGAAGGGATGCAAAGAGGGAGACT